TTTCTGAGGTGCAGCTGGTGGGTTTGAACCACTGACCTTGTGGTTTGAAATCCAGTGCTGATCCTACAGCACCACACCAGGAGAACTGTCAAATCTTAAAATGCATTCTATATAATTAAAGGAAAATTCAACTGCGTTCCATACAATTATAGAGTTGAATTAATTGCACTGTATTTTAATATTCAGAAAAATTGGTAAATTTCCATCTTTATATTTATGTGGCACTGTAGGATAAACCCTGGACTTCTAAACATGATAGTTGCAAGGCAAACAAAACAGTTCATTTCTACCAGCAGCTTTCAGACACCCCATACTGGGTGGATATTAGTCGGAACCCACTTGACAGCACATAACATCATTAACAGTGTTGGGCATAAGGAGCTCTGGTAGCGTAGTGGTTACCAATCGGGCTGCAAACCAGAAGATCAGCAGTTCGAAACTACCAGCTGTTTCGCGGGAGAAAGATGAGGCTTTCTGCTCCCATAAAGATTTACAGCCTCAGAAACTGTGTATAGGGTCGCTGTGAGTAGGAACCGACTCCACGGCACATAACAACAACAATAAAAAACGGGAGTGCTGTAGTTCTGCTAACCACAAGGTTGGCAGTTTGAGCTCACTAGCCACTCTTGCGGAAGAAAGACAAGGTTTTCTACTATTGTAAAGATTTACAACCTCAGAAACCCTATACAAGGTCACTATGAGTCAGAACCCGCTCAACAGCATTTAACAACTAAGTAAGGTTAACAAATATTTAACAAGCAATGATTAGGCTATACACTTAAAGAGAGTAACTTAAAAAGTTCATGGAAAAACGGATTAAGAAGACAATGAAATTTTTCTACAAACTTTTTGAAGTTTCCTTGTATAGAAATGTAAAATACAACACAGCACATCAATTAACTTGAATACTCAGCTCTGGTAGCATAGTAGTTACGAATCGGGCTGCTATCCTCAGCGTCAGCAGTTCGAAACTACCAGCTGCTCCACGGGAGAAAGATGAGGCTTTCCATTCCGGTAAAAATTTACAGCCTCAGAAACCCTGTACAGGGTTCACTATGAGTCGGAACCGATTCCACAGCACATAACAACATCATCAACAACTCAATTATTCAGGTTTGTGGTTGTTGTTAAGTGCCATCAAGTAAGTTCAGACTCATAGTGACCCTGCATAGGGTTTTCATGGAGTGTCTCTGGTGGGTTTGAACTGCCAACCTTGTGATTCAAACCGACCTTGACCTACAGCACCACACCAGAACTCAGGGCAGAATTTATGAATTATAAATACTAGACTGGCTTGTTTTATATTTTAGAATATAATAAATGTTAACATTTGAGTATTTACTATGTGCCATGCACTGTCCATCTTATTCTTTCACTTGATCTTCATAAGAACTCTATGAGCAAGCTGAAAATATGCTTTGCTAAGGATGAGAAACTTTGTTTACTGAGATTAAATAACTCTCCAGAGATTCACAGCTAATAAGTGGAAATCTTTTTATTTTTCATTTTCAGAGTCAAACTATCTTTTTAATAACTCTTTGGAAATCCAGTACGTTCGCTGTCTAGAGAGAGATGATGTGGAGAAGTTGATCTTTAAAAACAAATGTTTCACATCCACACATCTTTATCTCAAGGATTAAGAAACCCTCCTCTGGGCAAACCACAGCAACTTATGCAGCTCTCGATCATTAACATCAAACAATCCCATAAACACCTACCTCCTTAAGGGTCAACACAATGCTTACAAAGCTCGTTGAAGCCAGGATGCTGTCTTATTTGTGTGTTAAATTCCCAAGTGCCAGAAATGTAGAAAGGTTAAACATCATATTGGATAGTCTTCTTTGAAATGTCTTCTAAAGACCCATCTTAAGATAAAACCTTGCCAAATACCGAAAAGGCATAGAATCCCAGAGTCTACAGAATATTACAGTGAGATCTTACAAAGGTTGAATAATCTATCTTCCCTTTCATCAACCCTGTCCCAGGAAATAGTCTGTACCTCAAAATAAATAAAGGGAGGAAAGGTGACATAGTACTGATCCCCTATGGATGACAGTCATCATAAAGAAACATGGAATTAAGTGAACCCAATACATCAAGTCAGTTGTTCCTGGCAAATTTAGCCTCCCTGACCTTTATACTAAGGAATTTTTGAAACTTCGAAACAAACAAAAATCTGGTAGTTTCTCAACTTGTAAATCATTTTAAAAGTTTAGTTCTCCAAATATAAAACTAAGTGTTGTCAAATCAATCCAACTCATGATGACCCTATAGGGTATGGCAGAGGTGCCCCATCTGGTTTCCGAGTTAGTAATATTTATGGGACTAGATTGCCACATCTTTCTCCCATGGAATGACTGGCAGATTTGAATCAGTTAGCAGTCAAACGCTTAACCACTGCACCACCAAGTTCCCTTAAGACAGATAACATACACCCTAAACTAAACAGTAAATCTTTTTTTTTTTTTGGTATAACTTCCCAAATATCAGACCTACCAGTAGTTAAGAAGTTTTTCAGCCATCAAATTAGCATACTATAAAAACTATCTGTGCTAACAGATGATATTGCAGAAGCTGGAGGCCATACTAAATGTAAGTAGCATGTCAAAACAGCAGAAAAAAGAAAAATATATCTGTATATGCTAAAACAAGAACAGCATTCTGATTAACAATCATCAGGTAGAGTCATCTTGTTAAAACCTAAAAATCTATTTAACTCCAAAACTAGCTCTACTTAGTAAAACATTAAGTACATGCCAAACCTTATTAGTAGTACTATGGATGTTAGCTAACAAACAGCTTACATGAAAAAATTCTGTTTCCATACTTACTAAGCATCCATAAGTGACAACAACTGTGCCCTACTCAAAGACTGAATTCTAAAATAGAGAAGGGTAGATGGAAAAAACTTGTCATAAGTGTTCACAAATTAGGGTGTTATAACACTATAAGCCAAAATAGGAAGCTTTTAAATGAGCAGTGCACAGTAACACAAAGCTACTGTCTGTCTCCACAACTACAAAAAGAGTTGATTCTATAACTTCAATTTACACCTCCACTAAATCAGTCCCTTACCTAGACTGATTGAGTTTGTAAGTTGCTAAAATAAAACAGCAAGTCACTCCAATAACAAATAAATAAGAGATTTAAAACACAAACACAAAAAAAATTCTTTTGCTTCTTCCATATGAAAACCAATGCCTTCCTTCAAAAAGTAATCACACTTGACATGTACAACCACTTTGAAATTATTATGCAAATTTATCTTTTTGCATCAATACTACATATTACCTAGCTGCAGTCTTCAGTAGGGTTTTACATAACTGGATCTGCCTTTATTTTAAGTATGAATAATATTCTCTCAGTCCTCAACAAACTAAATGTGGAGTAAACTGTGAAACATTTCCACCCAACCTTCCTCCCACCCAACTGTAAAGGGCATTCACAATCCTCCTCAATGGAAAAACAAGAGCACATATATTAAATCTAGAATCTTACACCAATTTCGAGAGGCAATAGCATTGAGAATTATGTCTTGGAACCAACCATCTGGGAGTAGGGATATAAAAGCAGTATAGATTAGATAACATGTCATTTATCATACTATGCGTAAATCAGAAACTCTCACTATAGTGCTTTAAAAGTGGTGAATTGGTAGTGGAAAGTCTCAACCTTTAAGGGGCACTCAATCTCTTTAGGAAAACTTTGCCTCCACCATAACCAACTACTATCCTGACACACCTACCACATCAGGATTTTCTTTCTTCTAAATCACTATATCCAGACACAGGCATGCATCTCTCCTTTTAGCAAATATTGGTTAAACTTCAGTTTCAATAAGATTTCATGAAACACCAACATACAGCCTTATATACAGTAAAAACGTTTTAAGTAAACCAATCTTTAAGCAATCTTAAGTTTTGCTCCTCCACCTTTCTCACAGAGTGAAAAAGCTCTAGAATAAATAACTTCCTGCAGTGTTTTGATATGACCCAAAGACATAGCGCTAATTCCTAAAGACTGGAGGCCTTATTTTCCCAAATCACCTTCCATTATCATTTTCATCCACTTATCCTGCATAAAAGGCAGTTGTTGGTTTTTTTTGTGTGTTTTTTTTTGTTTTTAAACAGGATCCTTAATAAATGACATGCAGTCTCAGATACCTGGGAAGAGAACTTACAAAGAGATGAATTAGTTTCCAAATGTGAGGGGAAAACTGTAACATAACAAGAAAGAAGAAAAGGTGGAAAGGCATGGGGGGATATTTTGACTAGAACACCTGGGGGTTACAGTCGATGCAGTTAGGTATTTTTGACACTGTGTAAATAGAATTCTTGCAGACAAAAAAGGTTTGCTGAAATCAACATGGACAGTGTGAGAAAAGCCCATAAACAAAAAAGACGACGGTATGAATGCAAAGATCAAGAAGTGGTCAGGGCCAGAGAACGAAGAGAACTGACTGTAGGGGATGCTGTTAAGGGTGGGCTAACATGGTGCCTTCTGCAGGGTGGAAGACAAAATGAGAGGTGGACCCGAAGGTCTCATTCCTCCGGGCTATGATCCGTAAAGGTTTCTGGGCACAGAGCTCAAGTTTCACCGAGAGAAAAAATTATAAATGAGGCGGTAAACGTGGTTCCCAGCACCTTAATCCCAGCTCAAAGGTCCTCCTTTTCAGCTACCTCCGCGAATGAGCGAGGAAGTAACGGTCCCCGGAGCCAACTCGGAGGATCCCCGCGCACGAAGCACACTCAGCGCCAGGGCAGAAAGCACCAGCGCTGAACCCCGGCTCTCAGAGATGCGAGCGGCGCGGCCGCAGGGGAAGGAGCCGGCAGCCCGCACCGCACTCGCCGGCCCCGGCCCTCACCAGCCTCACCCCGGGCGCGGCGAAAAGTTTCCAGCCAAAGTCCGTGGCACCCGCTCGCGCAGCCAACTGCCGAACACAACCGCCCAGCTGCACAGCCGGGACCCTCAGCCCGCGCCTGCCGCCGAGGTTCACCTACCACAGAGCCGGGAGAAGAGCAGCAGCGGGAAGAGTAGCAGCAGCAGCAGCGGTGGTGGCGTCGGTGGGGGCAGCAGGAGCCCGGCCCCGGGGGGAGAAGCGGAGGAAAGTTGTGCTTTGCCGCCTCCGGGACACAGCGGAGCCGGCCCCGGGGTCCGCGCCATCCCCCACCCTCCCCCCGGCTCGTACGCCCGCCCGCCCCCCGGCTCGCCCGGCCCCGGCGCCTCAGGTTCTGGGCGGAGGCAGCAGAGGCGGCCCCGGCGCGGCAGCGGTGGCGGAAGGTCCGGCGCGCGCGTCTCCAACTCCCAGTTCTTGAGCCGTCGCCTCCGACTGACACTCAGTCGAGCGCTTGCGGCTGCCTCGACTCCGCCGTCGCCGACGCCGCCGCAGAGGCTGAGGCGGGAGCCGCCCGCCGCCGCCGCCGCCACCACCGCCGCCACTCCCCTCCCCCCGGTACCCGCCCGCCTCGAACTCCTGGGAACTCGGAACGCACCACCCCGCCCCGCGCGAGAGGGGGAGAGGAAGCGGACCCTCGGAACAGGCGTAAGGAGTGCTACTCCTGCTCCCGTCTGATCCCTGAGTGCAAGCCGCGTCTCCTCCCACCCCGCCCTCCTACACATGCTCCTCCCCCTCTTTAAAAAAAAAAAAAAAAAAACTCTTCTCATCCACTTTGATAACGGGGTTTCTCTCAAACCACAGCTTTGAAAAGCAGAGAAAAATCTGGAATAGGTTAGCCTACCCCGCCCTTCGTTCCTGGCTCGTCCCCCCTTCCCAGTTTTTCCAATGGTCTCACCCACTCCGCCCTTCGCGGGTCCACAGCCGCCCCGGAGCAGACGGAGGCGGAGGGCGGCGGGACAATCACGCTCCGCGTTCTGTTCTTCGGGGCGGCGCTCTCCCTCTGGCGGGGACACGGGACAAGGAGGGTGTGGGAGGGGAAGGCACGACGGGGCTGCCCTTCCGTCGCCCATTCTAAATGTTCCTGTCTGGGAAGCTGGACGCAGCCTGCTGGACTAGTCATCTCCCTCCTTGCCCAGGGGTACGGAGAACTGAGACTTTTTCTTCCCAGAGACAGCTGTGCTCTTCGAATCCCTCCTTTCCCAGCCCCACTTCCCCTCAGCCCTTGGAGGCAGGTTTGCTCGGGCGTTTTTCTCGTTCTTTTCTTTCCGAGAGCTGCTTGGTAGAAGGGCCAGCGGCGCCGGACCAGAAGGGGCCTCGGAAGGTTTGCTTTCGTTCTCGATTTTCTTCCGCCTCCACGCTGTTCTTTCTGCGCCGGGCGACTGGCAACAGGAGGCCAAGGATTCCCCCATGAGAACGCCTAGAATGCGGTGGTGTTTTGCTTTGGTTTTCATTTGCATGTTCGTACGTGTAATTTAATTTTTATTGCTTTTCCTTTGAACTATTGACAAATTGCGGGGAAGTATTAACTATCTGCCGGTAAGAGTTCTACACGAGACTCCCTTAATCCAGATGGCTGCCTGCCCTGCCCTCTTCTTTTGCCCACCATGCACAGCCCAGGTGGCCTGACCTTGGAGCCACCCGGCGTTTCTGCAGGAAGGGGTTTGCGGAGTGTAGAGTTAAGATTGTCCAGGAGGTTATTGATTGGAGGCGGACGACACCGTCCTCAGGTTTGACAACAATCATTTTATGTAGATTCTGCCATCTTCACCAGATAGCCACAAATGTGCCCCAATAAAAAGCAAACTGAAAAAGGATCAGTTGTCTCAGTTAAACTAACGCTTGCCAACAGCCACGCTGCCCTTCCCTTTCAATCACTAGGGTGTATACACCCCCCCCCCCATGGTTTACAATCCTTTACTCATCTCCAAGGCTACACACTGTTCTGCCCTCTGTCCACCTCTCTTCTTGCCTAAATTCCGCCTCCCATCTGCCTCCCCACGCTAAGCCTAGTACCTCTTTTCCTCCTCTCCCATTACTTCTCTCCCTCAATGCCAGCCTGCCTATGTTGCCCTCTGTAAACCTGCCGCCTACGGCCACTCCTTTTCATCACCTAGCCTCAAGATGCACTTAATGAATATACCTTGCCCTGCATCGTTTAGAGACATCCCTATGATGATGATGATGATAATTGACGAAATGTAGCTATTGTGACATTCCTCAGCTGTACTGACACCACCGTTTCCCTTGAGAAAATGTCTTTTCCCATTTTCACATTGCTAAACCTAATTTCACTACTAAATTTAGACCCGAGCCCACTGTGCAGCTCCTAGCTAATTATCTGTTTAGATAGCACTTTAACATGGTGTTGATACTCAGTTAAATGTTAAACAACCAAATTTTAATATCACAAGCCCATTTCATTCCCCCAGCCTTTCATTGAAGGTTTCAATAGCCAGAAACAGTAATTTAGCTAACATTTGAAAAGATGCCCCGAAAGCTTAATTTGGTGGCATCATGTACTTGCTACAAAAGCCCTGAGGAATTAGCAGGTTTAGTGCTTTTCAAAAGGATGTTAAGGACCTCTTCTATTTCTACCATATCTAGAAAAACTAGTGACATGCTGTGGTTATGTACTCTTTTGACCTTAAGTGATGACAAAGCATGGACAGTATTGTTAAGTACATAGAATAGGTTCTGACTCCTACTGACCCTATATAGGGTTTCTGAGGAGAGTCTGGTGGGTTTGAACCACCAACCTTGCAGTTAACAGTCCAGTGCTTATCTTACAGTACTACACCAGGACTCCATTGACAGTATAGATGCTGTCAAAGCATTTAAAAGAGTACTGTGCTGGTGTTTTATGTGCATACATCCATTTTGTTCTAATAATAATAATTTGTGTTGATATAACATCAGCCAGAGATGTCAGGGCACACTCAAAATTCTCATGGAAGGTTGTTGTTATGTGCCGTGGAGTCAGTTCCGACTCATAGTGACCCTGTACAGGGTTTCCGAGGTTGTAAATCTTTACCGGAGCAGAAAGCCTCATCTTTCTCCCATGGAACAGCTGGTAGTTTCAAACTGCTGACCTTAAGGTTCGCAGCCCGATTTGTTACCACTACACTACCAGAACTCTTAGCAATTACTATTATCCCTACTTACCAGCCAGAGGATCCTAGGTACAAAGGTTAACTGCTCTAAAAATATTAACAGCCGTATGTGGTGGTTTTCCTGTTGTCCAGTGGAATTACTAACCTCTCATTCCATTTTAGGTAAATTTACAAGGTAACCCAAATCTCTTAGTGTTCAGTCTTAAATTTGCCACAAATAAAAGAAGTTTAGACATACCTCACGCCTTTCTTGTTGGAAGTAGGATAAGCACTAGACTGCTAACCACAATGTCAGTAGTTAACCTGCTAGCCTTTCGTTGGAGACCAAATATAGGGCCACTATGAGTCAGAACCAACTCAACGGCACTTAACAACAACAATAGAAAAGGACATTACATGATATAGCTTGTTTAGCAAGGACCAGAATTACTGTTGATTTTTTAAAAACCAACCTTTAACAGAGTTTTACCAGGTTTTATACCATTTTCAGTTTCCCAATTTTAAAGGTAAGTTTACCTTTTTTGTTTGGGAAACAAACTATTTGAAGGAATGCTCAATTATCGCTTACTTATTAATATTTCTGGCACCACTGAGTACCAAAAATACAAGTGTTTTCACAGGAAAAAAAAATTATCTGAACAAAAAGCAAAATGATCTTAAAGCCAACAGTGGTTTCATTGTTTTAGGTTAAGAATGCTGATAATGAAAAAAACAAAACAAAAAGAATACTGATAGTGTCCATCCCACTTTCTGCCTCATAGACTGCCAATTACCAAGGTTCATTAACCCTTAACTAAAAACAAAGTTTGATTTCTTAACAAAGAAGTAATTATGTACAGTGCTGGGCATTTTACATTTACTCAAATAATCTAAATTGAAGGTTTAAGACTTATTAGAATTTCATAGCTGGCAAACAAAAGAAGTATTTTATAGTAGTGGTAGGACATTACAAACTTTAGCTAATTCCCATTAGATCAGCAGATTTTCATGGCCTGCTGTGTGAATAAGTGTAGCTGTTCCCTATGTGGAACAGATGAGCAATGCTTTGTGGAATGTTTGAACTTGGTACTATCATAGATAATAAGTTGATGTTTGCTCAGCTAGAATCAGAGTCATTTAAAGAACTATGCAAATGTATCAAAAAAAAAAAAATTACAAACCCACAAAAAAATCCACCCACATGTATAATATTTACCAACCTCATTATCAAATGCAGCTATTCCCTACTGAAATTATCTCCTCCAACACTGCTTTCTGTCTCATATTTCCTTTAGGTCTTTACTCAAATTTAACTATCATTGAGACCTCCTGTGACCACCCATCTATTCCCTTAACTTGCTTTATTTTCTACATTTCACCTATCATCAGACATGGTATGTGTTTATTTTCTGTTTTCTTTCCACTAGACTAAAAGTTCCATGAGGATAGAAAAGGGCCAGTTTATTTCTTTCACTGCTGCAACCTCAACACCTAGCATAATACCTGCCATATTGAATGATTAAGTATCTATAGTGACACAAAGTAAGGGAGCCCTGGTGGTATTGTGGGTTAGGCATCGGGGGTGATAACCACAAGGTCAGCAGTTCAGACCCACCAGGCACTCTGCAGAGAAGCATCCTCAGAGGCTGTCTGCTCCAAGTAAAGATTCACAGTGCTCCAAGTAAAGCTCACAGTGTCGCTATGAGCTACAATCAATTCCGTGTTAGTGGGTATTATACCACACTGACCCAGCATACGCAAGTATATGCCTAATAGTGAACAATCTCAACAAAAGAGTATTCATTTTTTTAAGAACATGAGCATATGTCAATTTTTAGTTTACAAATTAGAAGATTATGACTATTGTTTAAGACTCTTGATTTAATTGCTATTAGTTCTGTTTATTAAACTATTATCTCTCATCCTGACAAAATGACTTGGAGAGTAAGAATCAGGACAAAGCTGATACCTATGAAGCAGAGGTCAAATATACCCAATGTACTCCAATTTCACTATTTATGTCTTACAGCACCCATTTCACCCATGGTATTCTTTTTCTGTTGGGTTAAATGATTGATTGGAACAGTCACAGAGAACTTATGGAAACAACATAACTGTAAATAACAGAGAAGGATATAAACAAAAGATATGTATAGAACGAAAATATACAAAGGATG